CACGTGATCCGCTTCCAGCTGCCTCTTCTCCTCCTGGAACTCGACCCGCAGCTCCTCCCAAACCTGCACCATCACCGCCTCCACATCCTCCGTCAGCTTGCTCAGCAAAATACCGAGCTGCTACATGGACTTGTTGGCCTTATTCGTCGCCACCTCCGCGCGATCCTCCGCCCCAGCGAGCTTGCCCTCCAGCTGCACAAACCTTGACTCATCAGCCTTCAGCCTCGCGCGTTCCTTGCCCCGTTCCTGCTGAGCGGGGAAAGTGGCCAGCAAAGCCTACATCCACAACGCTAGAAGACTTAACGAAATTCCATAAGCAAATAAGACGCAACACGTGCAAGTTTAACCCAAAATTACCGCGAGATGAACCTGAGCCAGGTCCTGCAGCGGATCTGATTTCTCCAACCGCGTTGGGACGCTGAGAATAGGCCCAACCACTCGCAGAGTAGCCTGGGTGGCCGAACCGTTGAAGGCCGCGCCAGTGTGAATCCGCACGTCGCCGAAGTAGTTGATGGCCGCCATTTCCGGCAGCGTCTTTTGGACGGTTGCCCCGGAGGAACTGGCAACCGTCACCTTCTCGGAGCGTGGAGTGTTTACTCGCCCGCACCACTTGTTCAGTGGTCACCAAAGGCAGCTGCTGCACAGGCGACAAGGGTTGTTCAGTCACCCGCGCAGTCTTCTGCGGCCTGCCCGCAACCAAGGGTTGCTCCACCTCCTTCCGTTTCGCGCCACTAGCTCGCGCTCTCCTCTCTTCTTCTTCTCATCGAGCGGAGCCCGCGGAACCATCACCACGTCGTCGACCGACATCATGCTCACCAAGTTTGAGAAGTCAACACCTGCGCCAATAAATCGTAAGGGGGCCGTTAATATGACAGAATGCAAAAGGAAAGAACACAACTAACCATCAGCAAAGAGCTCCTCCGAACAAGTTGCGCGGACTCCGCTAATGTATAAATTAATCTTCTGCAGCAGGCACGCCTAATATTTCTCGTCGAGCCCATCGTATTTGCCTTGATCCAACTCATAGCCGCGCGTATCGCCTTTCTTCCAAACAGTTGGCTCCTCCACGTGCTCACTCGCCCACTCCCCTAGGACCGGCTTAACAAAGAAGAACCGCTCAAACCAGTTCTTCTTTATCTTTGGGGATCCATATACGTAACCGTTGGGCCTCTTATTGTGACGCTTAATCGAGAGGCAATCGCTCTTCTCTGTGGGATCCTTGATCTTATAGATCTTACGAAATAACCCGTAAGTTGGCTGAATTTTGAGCCTTTTGCATACAAGGAGGAGGCACGGCACGTGCATGACCACCGAAGGAGAAAGACGCCCAACCGAGCAGTTGAGGAGCCTGTACAATGCGCACAGCAGCGGATCAATGGGAAATTTGAAGCCCATCTCCCAGTATTCCGTGCACACCCCGAACCACCCTGGGGGGCGATTGCCATCCCTGCTCCGTGCGGACGAAACGGCGTACTCCCAATTGGGGGGCAAACCCAATCCGCGAACAATCTCTGTCACTTCCCTTCGCCCATAGATGGACACGTGATTGGGCCCCCGAAGAAGGTTGTCATGCAGCGCTGGCTCCTCGCCCCACATCTCTGCCCAGTCTAAAATAGTGTAGGCCGCGCCTACACCGCGAAGTCCAAGACGGGCCATCGCCTCAGACAAGCGCGCAACACAGACCTGCTCTGATTGAGTATCAGACCCTTCGCGCGACTCAACTCCCACTTCTCTAGACCCACCAGCGCGGTCGCGGCGAATTATCAACACCCTGCGAGCATGCACGCTTGCCTCTCTACTTCCAAACTCTACCATCTCCACATCAGAGCAGCTGAGCAGGAATTAGTGTCCCGAATCGGCGTCATACGATGGCGTCGCCGGAACTCCCTCATCACCAGCCCCGCCACCGTTTCCATCGCCGGAATCAGCCAGATCCAGTGAAGGATCGGTAGAAATATGCGTAAGAGGGGAAAGATTACCTTCTTCGCCTTGCACGACCTTGATCTTGTCAATATTGGTGTTTGCCATGGCACTTCTCTGAGTAGTAGCAACAACAAAGTGAGAAACAAGGTTGTAGAAGAAGGAGAGGAATCTCAGAGAGGAACTGAACGTAGAAAGAAGAAGCAGAGCCTGAAAAGAGCAAAATGACTTTCCCCCGATGGCCAACTGATATGACACGCTACAACACAACACCAAACTGCGACCAAGTGTAATCGCAGTCCGGGAATGCAGTAAAGTGGCAAGTTCTAAATATCAACCCGGGGTCTAGATCTACTGCCTACTCTGTGATTATCAATTATCTAGCAAACTAAGGCGAGTGATTGTTGTTTAAACTAAAAGCGGTAAGAAAGCAGGAATTGGTTCAATTTTCTGAAGCAAGGAAGAGTCACTCGGGAATGAGTCCCCCTAGCTCCTTAGTTAGGTCTCAATTGTAATTACCCTGAGTTGATTTACTGTTGATCAAACTGCGGAAGATCCGACAGTAGATTGGAATCTCTTAAGCTGACCAAGCCTTCTCAGTCTAACTACCCGGCAGACGACTAGTCTTCACCGGGATAGAAAGCTGAAGCAATAAGCACAGAACTCCACTACTGAAATTGGATTCCAATACAAAGCAGTAGACTGACTAACTCTCGTATAGCCAATCTACTACTACCGAATGATGAAGCTTTAACAACCTAATAAGATTCTATCTATCTCAGGTTGTAACAGAAATCAAGAAAAGCTGATTAGACTTCAATTAATTCAATGAAACATGCATCATTCGATTAAAACCAAACGATATAATCATCCCAAGTCATTACAATCATGATCCCTAACACATGGAACTAAGGTTCTTCATACCCAAGTGAGAGAAGGGTTCTACTCCATAGAGAGAGAGAGAGGAAAACAGAAATCAGAGTAGTCATACTCATAAAGATGAGGAAAATCTGCTCTGGGATGTCAATCTTCACTCTTGGGGACGAAATCTGGGCTTCAATGGTGAGAAATCCACTCCAAATAGCTCCTAGGGTTTGTTCTTCGCCCTTTCTCTCTCTAAAACTCTGTTTTTGCTCTTAAAAGTCGATCCCCTCTGTTTTGGCTCGAATCTGCTTCAAAACCCGATTCTGGGCGAATTACGGGCAGAATTACGGTCGTAATCATGGTCTGCCCGTAATTGCCCAAAACGTGCGTTTCACTTGACTCGGAAGAGAGGATTTACGGTCGTAATTTGCCAATTAACGCCAGTAATTACTGAATTACGACCGTAATTAAAGTGACTCTTGCCCGTAATTGACTCTGCGACAGGAATTCTGGAAATTAGGTTCAGCATTGAAATTACGGGTATGCGAAGAACAATTACGACCGTAATTGTGCAGGGGTTGCCCGTAATTTTCTCCTTGAAACGCAACCCGACCTCCAAATGACCCGAAACTTGTGCCTATGAACCTCTTTTCTTGCTAGGACCTGAAATACGCCAAAACAACACAACCTAGCGTAAAATAGGCCAAGGAACAACAAATTCGAGCTAAAATGGTCAGGAAACAAGGGTGAAAACATGTGCAAATATGATGCTATCATGATACTTATAGTTGAATGAGGAAAACTGAAGGGTTAAAGTCACATCGGGAATCGTAACCGTCAGAGCCTTTCAAATTTCAAAACCACCGCCTAAATAGAGCAATTAGGTAAGGACACATGGACGCCTACCATGCATAGACTGTAGCCGCTGATGTCACAAGTTCCGCACACCGCCTGGGGGGCATGGCATACCCGCGAAGAGAAAAAAAGCACACACAATCACAAGAGTCACACGCAACTAGGCCAGAGTATCTCACGGAAGTCGCGCAGACTCGAACCCATCTCGTGGAAATCATGAAGCACCCTCAAACCCAATCTCAACCCCAAGAGTCTCGCTGAGATGACGCAGACCCGATCCAATCTCGCGGAACTCAAACAGGCGGCATCCGCGGAATACCGCCTGATGGGGGGCAATTGTTGGGTGTTTGGCTCGGGTCCAGTCGCGCCAAGGAACCATCGCGGCACCGTCCCAGAAGGGTCAGGCTCGTCGATACCACCGCAACCAAGGATGCACCCGCGCGAGGATCACGGCCATGGCGAAGGGGCCGCACTCGCGGACCAAGACCCCAGACTCCGAACGACGACTTTCCAATTAAGCCTTGACCAGACCATGAAAAGGACACCGCGTTTTCCAAGGAGTAGTCACTTCATAGGCCTACATATGATCATAGACAAATCTCCTAGTCCTTGGTAGAGGTGTGGCCTAAACTCCTGACATGTCAGTAGTCATGTCACATCGAATAACTCACCCACCACCATGTAGCCTATAAATATGGCATTTACTCTGGTGGGTGAAGGGATCGCATTTTTATTCTCACACTCTACTTAAGAAGAACTTCATCTCTCTAAGAATTTCCTCTGCCCTAAACTCCATGTTGTTTACTCTTCTCACCCATCTTTCTCCCGAGTCTACCTCCTACTCCCAGTTAGACTCAAACAATCTCATAGAGAAAGTATAGTACAGTTGTAAACATCTAACCTAGCTAGCAAACCCACAAATAGGAAGAGTTAAAAAAGGATAGCCCATAAAATTAATACAAATTTAACATATGATTTTTATTCTATATGCCCCTCCCCCCCACCCCGATTAGTTAATTGGTTCCTATTAGTGTTGGGACCATAACTGTCTACACATACGTGTTATATTCTCAAGATTATTCAATTGGCACTAGTGGACATTATATTTAGAGATTAAAGGATAAAGGTTGTCTAAATTAGTGTACAGTTTCGCTTATTTAAACCATCATTAACTGGACTAGCCAGTAGCCATCATCCACAAAAACACCCAGAGAAACAAACTGATCAGAAGAGGACCTTATAAAAAAAAAAAAACAAACTGATCAGAAGAGGAAGAAAAAAAACCTGCCCACTGATCTCCTGACGTCCTTAAAAATACAGGGAAGTCGGCGGCGGCCGAGTCAAGCACCGGCGACAGCACCATGGAGCAGATGATCGTCTCTCGTCCACTAGCAAACTTCTCTCCCTCTGTGTGGGGTTCCAGATTTGCTTCGCTTGCTTCATCTCCCACGGTAAGAGATCGCCGGTCGGCCTCATATTACGTTGCTGCATGCATGCATGCATGCATGTAACTATCTATGTTGATGATTAATGACATACATGTGCATGGTGATGTACGTTGGGCAGGAAATGGAATTCTACCGGCGGCAGGTGGAGCAGGCGAAGGCGAAGGTGGGGAAGATGCTGGCGGCGGCTTCAGCAGCCGACGTGGAGCTCATCAACTTGCTGGAGCGGCTTGGTGTGTCGTACCATTTTCAAGCTCAGATCGAAGACCAACTGAGGCTCATATTGCAACAATCTCTCTCCGATGCTACAGAGAGAGATGGAGACCTCTACTCCGTTTCGCTGGCGTTTCGAGTTCTACGCCAGCATGGATACAGAGTTCCTTGTGGTAAGTAACCAACTCTTAATTACCTCTCGCATCTGACTAAATTTGGTGGCAAAAGATCGATGTTGCTGGTTGCTAATGGAAAACATATATATGTAGGAACTAAATGATTTGGTTGTTCGCAAATTTGCGAAAGAAATCATTCAAACAGTTTCGTAAACTAATCCGTCATGATTTTAAACACTTTCTTGCATTCCTCATCAAACGAAAAACCAGTCCACGGGCTTAAAATTTGGCAGTGGTCTGTGCCACATATCATGTGATTATCAAGACAACGACTAATATTGAGGGTCGTGATGAGAATGTGAAAACATGACTTTAGCAACATACTAGCTATAATGCCATATTATAAACTAACAGATCCCAATAATATTCCAGTTGTTGGGATATTGTCTATGTATGAATCTTAACGATTTCTTTTACCATGCAGATGTGTTTGGCAAATTCAAAGACGTAAAGACAGGAGAGTTCAAGGAATCTCTGAGGTGCAACGTGAGAGGGATTCTGAGCCTGTACGAGGCCTCCCACTTGAGGCTTCACGGAGAGCCCATTCTAGAGGAAGCCCTTGCATTCTCCAAGTCCACTTTGCAGCAGCAGCTGGAAGATTACTCGGGCACCAATGTTATAAAGGCTCATTTGGCAGCACACATAGAAAACGCACTGATTTGCCCCTTCCACAAGAGCGCTCGAAGGATAGATTCATGGAGATTCATCTCTTTCTACGCCGAGGAAGAATCGAGAGATGAAACCCTCGTCAGATTCGCGAAGCTCGAGTTCAACTTCGTGCAGCTGATGCACCAAAACGAGCTGGCCTTTGTTTCGAGGTGGTGGAGGGACACGGGTCTTCAAGAGAGGCTTCTTTATGCGAGAGACAGAATCGTGGAGCTGTATTTTTGGGCGACGGGATCTCATTACGAGCCACACAAGGTGGTCTCAAGGATTGCAGCCACCAAATTTGCCAAAATGGTGTCGTTGGTCGACGACACTTTCGATGCCTACGGTACCCCTGAGGAGCTCCAACTCTTTGCTGACGCTTTTGAGAGGTGGTTGTCATCCACGTTATACACAATATGGGTTTTGTCAAATCAATCTATATTTGATAAGTCGTGGATATAGGTTCACTTTTTTGTGGTACCTAGCTAAGAGGTTTGAATTTGGGATCTCCATATTCGAAACTGGTGATGCTGTTATTAGACCAAGCTTTTGTTCGTCATAACATGGATATTCAATATGGGTTTTGCATGCATGGTAACTTTTTTTTCAGGTGTGACGAAGAGAGTGCGGCTGAGCAGCTTTCAGATGACATGCGACTCCTTTTTAGGGCATTCCTCAAACTCTGTGATGATATGGAACAAGATATAGAGAAAGAAGGGAGAAGCTACGGAGCACACCACGCCAAGGATGCTGTAAGATCGATCGATCGATCTCTCTCATAAATTAACTGGTTTCAATAATTTGAGTTTGTTTTGCGTATCGCGTCTTACCTGGCTATATTTCAAATCCAAAGGTTAATCGTACTCCGGCAACTTTACGCGTATCTTTCTGGTTTGGTTAACTTAAAATTTCAATCATTGTGTGTATAGTTCAAGGAATTGGTGAGAGCATATGATGTGGAGACAAAATGGCTGGCAAAGCGCTACACACCAACGGTGAAAGAGTTCATTGCAAATGGTATACCTTCAAGCTCATACGGCGTGATTTCAGCTGCATACTTCATTGGAATGGGGGAAGCCATGGGGATCAAAGAATACGAGTGGCTGAAAACCAACCCAACGATCGATACAGCAGCAAAGCTTCTCGGGCGGCTTCTCAATGACATCATGAGTCACGAGGTACGTACTCAATGACAATATGGTTCCAATAACGCGAATTATTTGGAGAAGTTCAATAGTAAATCTTATATCACGTACATGCTAACAATACTAGTACAATATGAAAATGCAGGATGAGCAGAAGAGAGGACACTGTCCATCTGCGGTGGAATGTTACAAGAAAGAGAACGGGGTATCCGACGAGGAGGCCGTGGAGGCGATCAAGAAGATGTGCGATGATGCCTGGAAGGACTTGAATGAGGAGTGCATGAGGCCGACTCCAGTTGGGATGCCTGTGATCCAGCACTTTCTGGATCTCGTTCGAATCATCACCTTCATATATATTCGCAATGACTCGTATACGCACTCAGGGTCTCTAACAGATCACATCAACTCTATCTTACTCGAGTCGATTCCTATCTAGCATGCCTACCATACCTATGTTGGAGGTGAGGTTCGAACCGGGAGGGAGGGAGCTGAAGAAGATTGACTCTAGAAGAAGGAAGTTTGAAAGTCGTCGTCCAAAACTGTGTCATGTTGGTGGTTTTTATACATTTGGTTGCTTAAATTTGTTTAGTGTGTTTTTTGAGTCATGTCTGTGTTTAGATTATATACAGAGATGAGGGATTATTGCTGTGAGTTTGTTGCCAGTGTTTGATGAAAAAGGGAACATAACATTCATGAATATGATGAGGTATACTTGGAAGATACGCAAATACCTCTTTTGTTTTGACTTGAAAGCTATAGAGTAGATTTATCATAATTGGTATATAAAAGCCACAGTTTGAGTACTGTTCATTAGGAGCACTTCTACTATGCTATATAGTATTGGTGCTTTAATGTACAACTTAAAGTTGTACCATAATATTAAATGTATAACTTAAGGTTGTACCATAAAGCAATTTGTACCATAATGTTATGGTACAACTTTACAACTTGAAGTTGTACCATCACATAAGGTACAAGTTCAAGTTGTACCATAAAAGAATTTGTACAAAAAGTATAGGTACAACCTGAAGTTGTACCATAACGTAAATGTACAATTTTAAGTTGTACCATAAAGGTAAAACCCTATAGCACCAATACTATATAGCATTGTAAAATTTCTCGTTCATTAGTGGCCCACACGTTTCCTATTTGAGAGTGGGCTTCTTCCATTCGTTTCCTCCTAATTCTGCCACGTACCTATATCTCCTTACTCACACAAACACTTCGAACGCCTCAATACCCAACGCGCCATGTGCAAACCAGAGGTTCTGGGTTTTGCCCATAGGACAACCGGGTTCCTCCGCTGCAACTGCCTGCCGTTCGCTTCTCTCTCTGACACGCAGAGACTCTTTCTTTCGTCCCGTCTCCTCAACACCGGCACATGCGCACGCAATCCCTGGTCATACGCCGATGCACGCCACCCAGAACGCTCCAACTCCCAATTCCTCCTCGGAAATTGCTATGAGTCATTCGTGCTTCTTTGCTTGGAAGACTCCTTTTCACACACACAGCCCATCCCTCCCACAACTTTTACTCCCACTTCGAAAATTGTTCGGCGGAATACAACCTCCAGCCGAGTCCCAAACTCCCAGGTACGCTGCTATGATACTTTCCAGTAGAACAACCCTTTCCAATCTCAGCTCTCTAACCCTAGATCCTGAATTCGCAGCGATGCCCAGTAAATCTACACGACGGTCCAAGCATGCCGACGCTCCACCGGCTCCAGGAATGCCAGAACCGCCGCCATCTACGCTGAAAACTGACCGGCAGGCAAAGAATCGCGGTTCTGTGTCGACTTCCAAAACTCCCAGAGTCCTCGAACGCCGCAACCGCGTCCCGCCTCCTGCTGCATAAGAAACTCAGCCGACGCCGCCTTGATGGAACGGTTACAAGCTACTTCCATTCGTTTAGCTTTGCGGGGCATTGACTGCTCCCTAGCGCCCCATACCCACAAATAGCAGCCCGACGACTTCGTACAACACCGGCGTCGTCGTGAACAACCTCTGCGGCTTCCCCTTCTCACAAAGCACGCTGCTTGCCACTGTCGTGAGCCCATCTCCCTCTGAAACTCGCCGGCTGAACTCCACCTTTGAAGCTTGGCGGTTGAGTCACAGGTCTCTAATCCCAACCCTATGCTTGCTAGGTTGTTCCATATTCCTCCCCAATCGTAACTCATCGTCTTTAGTTTGGGAAATCCATCCCTTATTCTTCTGTTTCTCAACACGTCTTCTCTGACTGCAGGTCGGGTAGGCGAGGCAACGGAATAGATAGCAGCTTTTGGATCTTCTTCTTCCGTTTATGGGTTTGGTCTCTAACGTCGACTGTTGAAACCGTAACTTCCCCCAGATTGATTTTTGGTCAGATGGTTTATGTAATTTTTGATTATTTCCATGAAGCTTGGACTGGGTTTTCACGGAAGGTTTCAAGTGGCTTGCTGGGTTTGTGAGGCTCTCCCTTGCCTCTGCCATTATGTTGTGGTAACAAGGAATTCACTTTTGGGCTTAATTAGTTTTTCCTGTACTTTTGGAGTTCATTAAAGTGAGCTTATGTGTGACCCAGCTTACAATTGTAGTATGCCACAGTGATTGATTATGATGGTTGGCAAAAACGAAACAATTCTCTGGGATAAAGTCAGGGCACCACCAGGGCAAAGTATGGTGTGGGACTATATTAGATGAAGTTCATTCGAGTGAGTCGTCTCTCTCACAATCTTCTTTCTTCCTGCATAGATTGTATGACATATTTAACTTATGTGTAACGATCTACTGTTACCTTTTTCCGAACAGGCTAGATGAAGAGTTGATCGAGTCACTTTTTGGGTCCAGTATAAGAAGCATGGTTAAAGAGACAGAAGAAATGGAAGCAAGATTAGAATCACCCAAGCTCCTTAGGTGAGAAATCAACTTCAACTTGGCAATTGCCACTCTCTTATGTCCCTGCTTCCCAGTCATGAAATGTATAATAGGTTTCTTGATGATCCGAATGCTGGACTGAAAAGCTTTCAGTTTGTTTTTTCACTTTTGATTACCTCATCACTTATTGACTATGTTCAACTACATTTCATGTTCCCAAATTGTCTATGTACGGTACTTGAATTAAGGTTAAAAGAGGAGTTAGAGAAGGCACTGGTCAGAGGAGTCCAGGGAGTCTACTATGTTGTATGTTAATGAGAGCTCTCTTCGTTCACTTTTACAATCTTATAGCTTTGCCTTTCAGCGAAGGGTTAAACTTTTTTTGCCAAATTCCAGCAGATTAATGGGAGCACAAGCATGGACAGAAAAAGGTTTCCTGTGAGCTTCTGAAATTAATTCCAAATCATAAGTCTGCAACTAGATTCTTAGCATTATCCGCAGAGGAAGCTGCAGGACAATGACGCCAATTGGTTCTTCTCCTTCTCTCAAATGGCTATGAGGTGCTTACTACTTCCAAATTTTGCCTTATTGTTTTGTTTCACAGGTTGGTGATTAAAGCTTTAAGAAGGCAAGAAACTATTCAGGTCCTGGTACTTATTTATGCTCGCCTATTCTCCATGATTACCTTGCGATTTACGCATATTATGATATATCTTCAATTGCAACCCTCTGAATGCATTTAACTTTCCCCGTGTACTTGCAGACTGCAGTTGATGCTTTCTCAATACCATGATTGCCTTTTATAACTTCAATCTTTTCTCATCCTTTTCCAATGCCTTTTATAACATTTATGTTGCATTTTCCCGTCTCATATGCTGTAGATGGTTAAAATATAGGTAGTTTGTGTCGGTGTGATGATGATACGAGGACGAGTTGGGATGTCCCAAGTGCAACTTTGCTTTACACGGAAGGGTAAATATTGCTTATTGACGCCATTACATATTTTGCTTCAGTTAATGTGAAAAATTTGTGGGGTAGTTTGCATTTCCCTCATGTCATTGATCACCCATTTATGTAGCCATTTGTATTTTCACCTCCTTTTACAAGGGGGTGCTATATAGCCAACATGTATGGACCTTAGGTAAAAAACCTATGCAATCATTTAGATTCTTGCTTAAGATAGATAGAATGCAACTTTAGAATCATTAACTTTGGCTTGGTGCAGTTTGCTTAGAATTAAACTTTTACCTTTTTTTATATATAGCAGGTTAGGAAAGCCAAGTTCATTAGAAATATAGACAGCTGTTGTAGAGCAAACTGTGGAGGCTATACTGAGCTGTTCTCTTCAACCGGTGAACTCAAAGAAGAGGTTCTACTTTGTCGGCAGTGCAGCAAAGGCCCTTCGTGGCAGAGGCGGATCATGGAATTATGGAAAGAACAAAGTAACCTATCAATTACTGATGATAGCATGTCTCTCTGTCTCAAGTGCATTTTTTTGGCAGGAGAAAGAATACTGGCTTTGTGTGGCTTGAGAATTCCAAACGTCGTTGTTCTTTCGAGGGAAGTACAACATAATTTATTTGTTTTCTTGGCCTCTTGCATGATTAAGGGTTATAATTCAAATTGATTCATAAAAAAAAGAGTACCAAAGGGGTCTGTTCACATCCAGAGTAGTCATGGTACAAACTTTCGTCAGCTCTAATAGTGCGTTGAAAGCAGCATACTGTGAAGAATTCGGAGGACAGGATCAACAATCGAATTAACAAATTGTTCATATACCATACTAATGTGCATTCCTAACATATAGCCACTATGACGCTTCAATTTAGAGCATTTTACTATCGCGAAACGCAAGCGAGCGGGTCCTTGCTAGTCTAAATAAAAGTCCAACCTTAGCCAACTATGGCAAAACATCACAAGAACTTTGGAAAGGAAATTCTCGTCTGATAAACTATTATCTTTATTGGTCAATAAAATTGTAAAAATAAAAATAACACAAAATTATCATACGACGAGATATAAATGAAATATTAAATAAAATATAACACAATTGGCATTTTGTTAATAATTTGAATATTGTAGTGCTATTAACCCAGATCTCAAGTTATCAAAATTACTACTTCTGTATTAAAACAAATGCATTGTCGTTTATAGTAGGAATCTTTGGTTGTCTCATTCCTCAACTTCCTAGGTTTTTAAGTAATATAATTATTAATTAGAGGGTTACTTATCCGTGGTCTTAGTTTTATCCCCACAAATAGTACTTAGTTTTCTATGTTATTATTGGTAAAATACAAAACTTTCTCGATTCAACCATTCAATCCAATCCACCCACCAAGTGGAGTTTTTTATTTTATTTTTATTTTTTATTTTTGTTTATGTGATAATCCACCCACCCAGCATGTGAACCGTATCTATCCTCTAATAATTTCATCATAATAACTCGTCAGGCGGCTAATGATATATATAGTTGCTTTACAAATTATGGTGCTTCCCTTCAGGATAATTGTCGTTAATCTTAATTTATCCTAAAGTACTTTTGTTATTATTTAACAAAATAAGTTTTATATACTAACAATGCCTA